CGCGGACTAGCTCCTTGAGCATGTCCCATGTACAACCCGCTTTTTCACCGGGACGCATGCTCCAGTAGGCATTCCACCAGAGCCTAGCGTCACCAGTGAGCTGAAGCTGAGCGCAGATTACGCGATATCTATCGGGACAGTCCATGACCTCAAAGATAAATTCTAAGCCTTGAATCCATTCATCTACGATGCGGGGATCTCCTTGTCCTGAGAACTTTTCAGCGTGGTAGTCGCGGGACTGGGCGACTACAGTAGCCTGAGTAGGAGCCTGATGATCGGGTTCCCTACGTGGCGGCATCTGAACATTGAGAAAGTTTAACATTACTGAATACGTGATAACATTCTGACTGTTTACTAAGGCACACAAATCACTTGACGAGTTGCCAAAAATGGCCGTTAATTACTGACATGAATCCTGAAGAACTCTAGAGTCATATCAACAGATACTAAAGTCTAGAGTCATATCTGAATGCCCTGAATTCTAGAGTCATGTCCGAACTCTAAAGTCTAAACCTGATTCGAGCATCTTCACTAAAGTCCTGATCCTTAATTCTGAGCATAGACAAAGTAATATGTTTATAACTGAAAACATAAATCAGCACTTACCTGTCGTCGGCGGGGCGTGAGCATGACGGTTCAGGTTTTTCTGAAAAATTACTGACTGAAAAACTTTTTAGAGACGCAGAAACGTGCTCCAATACCAATTGTAACACCCCTCCTTATCGTTAAATCAGAGTGCGAAAATTTCACAAAGTTAATTAAAATTAAAGCCTTTTACTTTGCGAAACTGATTCGGGGTACTACCTTAAAATCGTGACTTAATTTGGAAAACCGTTATTTGAATTTTTTATAAAATCATACTGATACTGAAACATAAAGTTTTCCAAAAGTTCGTCAAAATATAAGTTCGTCAAAAGTCATCATCAGCGGAAACGTAAATCATCATAATAAATATACAATCAAAACATGAAAGTCCTAAAGCCATCCTCTGCTCACGCTCCCTGCCCGACGTCATGACCTGAAAAACATGATAACAATGGGAAATGAGCACTATGGCACTGTACTCCGTGGAAACTCATACTAATGTAAACATTGAAAATAATAACAACATCATGATATCGGCAT